TGGATCACCGCTAGAGAGGAGCACGCTTTACCTCATTTATCCTCTCCTACAAATCCGTAAGGATTTAAGGATATACAATCTCCCTAGGTAACACAACAAACTCACACGTGGTTTTTAGTTTCGTGAATTTTTCACACCAATCTTTGCACGACGATGAACATATCAGTGAGAAATTTGGGGATTTTTATTTTTTGTTCTTCCGCTGCGCATGTGATGTCGTCCCTAGATTTTCCTACAGATAAGTTTGGGCCAATTTGAGTTAGTATTGGGCTGAAACATAGCTTATTATTATGAAAGCCATTGAGCTTAAAATTGGCCAAATTTTGAGTTAGAATGCCAAATGCCAAATTAAGTTTTATGATATCATGTCAAAATTATGATGATAGTACTACTGAAGTCTAGTATTACAGTTCTATCCTAAAATTTAGGATGATAGTACAATGATCAAAAAGTACAATAGTAGCACCTTATGAGTCTTGTATTATAGCTTTGATTCAAAGATTATGATACTAGTACAATCCAAAGTTAATGATAATATTGCTGAAATGTTAAAAATTTAAATTTTAACTCTATTTTGGAAGCCTTTCGGGGGCATAAATACTTCACTCGGGCTTGATTGATGTAATATTAATATTTGAGTTTGTGAGATATTATAGCTCTCTCTTTGAGCATCATTTGAGTTTATTTCTCTCTCTTGAATTTGGTTATGACACTAAATGGTAGTTAGAAGAAAGATTATAAAGGGTGTTAGGATCAATAGCGGCACTAAGAATGGGGTGAATTAGTGATGCGGGAAACTTTCTCGATTTCAAAAGTCTTTGTTTCGATTAAAACCGATTTCGACAAAAATGGTTTTGATTCAATTCATTTCGGAGAGAATTTAAACTTGAAGGCTTTCGTAAAAGTGTAGCAGAAGATTAAGGAGATTTGCAGTAATGTAAATTGCACAAATGAAAAGCAAACCATAATTTAGAGTGGTTCAGTCAATGTGACATACATCCACTTTCGGATTCCTCTTCCGTTGAGGTCACCGGCGTCCACTAAAGGCCTTCCTTCAATACGCGAAGGTCAACCACCTTTTATAGCTCTTTCTCCTTTTGCTGGGTTTAGAAGACAACCCTTGCAAGTCTTACTCCTCTTTCTTAGATGGTTACAAGGCTAAGAGATGAAGGAGGAGAACTCTTCTCACTTTTCCAACACTTTAAGACTCAAGAACTCAAGATAATGCTAACGCTTTTGTGCCCTTTCATGCAGAAAATGGTGGGATATTTTTAGGCTCCAATGGCTTCAAAAATAGAGCCAAAAAGTGTCTCATCCCAAATTTTTGGGTACTGGCGGTACCATCGCCATTATTAGGCGGTACTACCACCTGTAGTTTGACACTGGGCGGTACCATTGCCTAGTCTGGGTGGTACCACCGTTTGACAGGGGGGGTACCACCGCTGGCAGCAATAACTGTCCGCGGTACCACCGCCCAAATAACCTAGGGCATTGCTTTCCAAGCGGTGCCACCACCGGTCATGTTTTCAAGGGCTGAATTGGCTGCTCAATTCGGCCAAATTCAGTCCTATTAAGGGCCCAGTTGGCCCATAATTAAGTTAGTGGGATTACCTCACAATCCTAACTTAATTTATACTCTAACTATGATAATTAAGACATGATCACAACACTTCATGTTTCGGTGCGTCAATTGCTCTTCCAGCGAGCTTCCGGCGAACATCCAATGAACTCTCGACAATACTTCAGTGGACTCCCGGCAAGCTCCTGGACTTTACAACGATCTTCTTGGCAAGTTCCGACGAACTTCTTTGGCAAGCTCCTGGACTTCTCGGTTAGTTCCAGCAGAACTTCTAACGAACGTTCAGACTTCCGACAAACTCTTGAACTCCTAATGAGATCTCGATCTTGACTTTGGCACAACACCTGCTTTATGTCTTACTGCTATCGTAGTTAATCCTGCACACTTTTCTCAACATATAGATTAGATCAAACAATTTACAATTGACTTCATTATCAAAATCCGAGGTTCAACAAAGGAATGTTGTGATCTCCATGTATTAAAAATAAGATTAGTTATAAAAGCAATACCTCGGAAGGAAATAAATTGAGAGTAAACATAGGTCAAAAAGATTGAATAACTATAAATCGGTTTGAATTTGTTCTCTTATTTATAACTTTTGATTATGATTACTTACTTATTATCATTCACTTTTAACTCTAACTCACACTATTAATGTCAATATCTAACACTTGATTTTAGTCATTTAAAATAATTTGATCTCGAAAATATATAGGGATACTAGAAACTAATGCAATGAAGTATCACTATAATAATAAAATAAAATAATATTAATACTTTAAGTTAAAAAATAAACTATTGATATCATTTCTATTTCATCTCTAGGTTGAATATTGACATATATAATATTTACTCAAGATTTATGAAGGTCCAATATTATTATTGCAAGTATATCCTAAATATTATTATTCTATCCCCATAACATAATTATTAAAAAAAAATATTTTTTAAAAGTATCTAAATATTTTAATTATGTGTTTTTATGAGTATTATTTTTTTTATATTATTTAAGACTAATTTCTTAATATAATTTTATAAATTTATTATTCTAGATCACTTTGACTATTATTAGACCAATATAAGAATATAAGATATATTTTAAATATTCTATAAATAATAAAATATTTATTATAATTTATATCTCATAATAGTTAACTTTGGCAACTACTAGTCAAATAAAATTTATGGATATAATCTATAAATAATATTCATTAAATTTTCTATTAATACTCACTTAACTAAACGTGTTAAAAAAAATATAATAACAATTAAACATAAACTTTAATTAGCATAGTCATGTAAGTGTAGTAGTTAAGACAAAATAAAAATCATTCTTTCATGTGAAAATAAATATAATTTTATAATTTTTCTCTCATGCTTTTGTATTTAATAATTACATAAATTTTAAAACAATAATTAAAACTTAAATATCAAAAGCAATTAAATTTGAAAAACCAAATGTCAAACCAATTAAATTTGATCAATAATCATTCTTGTCACGTGTAAAAACCAAAATATCTATAATTTATTTTTCCTGACAATTTTGATAAAATTATTTATCGAATTTTATTATGATATTCTTTTTTAATTCTATAAAGGATCTTAAATTGGATCAATCGATATTATTTAATTAGACATCTTGAGTCATAATGAATTAGGCATCCCAAAATTAAACAACCCAAATTGAGCCCAACAATTAACTTAATTAATTAAATCAATCAAAATTAAGTAAATGCTGATAAAAAGAAGGTTCAGATTGAGTCAAAATTCAAAATTAAATAGGACTGGTCAAATATGGAGGTTTGGTCATGGTTGACCGAGATCGAAGTCTAGTCGAAATTGCTTTTCGGGCAGGTTTAAGGTCAAAATTGATTTTGACCAAATTAAGCCAAGGCCATTACCTGTATCGCGCGAAGGCACCCGCGTAGGTTTCCTCACCGGCGGCTTCTCACGCTGCGCGCGACCTCCCCACCGCCGCCACCTTTCCTGGTGACTAGCTAACCGACAATGCACCACCCACGCGCTGGCTGTGAAGCACGATCGCCCAACATCACCACGCCACATTAGCCCATGTCGCCGCTTGTGGCTTGTTGTCTCCGTCCGCCTGCGCCCAACCAACGCTACACAACCTAACGCTGCCCGCTTTCGTCAATCACAGCCTGTTGAACCAATAGCGCCAGGCCACATCCCCAAATGGTGACGCCGTCTGCGGTATACAGTCCGTCGCCCAACGACACAATACTCGGCCGCGGTGCCAACAATAGCCGTCCGGCTGCGTCCAACCAATGCCGTGAGTCGTTGTCTGCGGTAATCCTTCCTGTCGCCGCGTTTCACTCCGCCTGTGTGTGGCCACTGTGCGACCGCCTCCGTCGCGTCACTACGCTGCGATGTTCCTTCGGGTCCGTCGATCTCACGCAGCCGCCGATCACAGCAGCGCCGCCACCCTAAGTAGCAGCATTGCCGCCCAACGCAGCCGCTCCCCACGGCGGGACCAGAGCTTGCAGCCGTCGATCGCAGCAGCACCGTCGCCCTACGCAGCTGCATTGCTGCCTAACACAGCCGCTCCTCGCTATAGGACCAGCGACCACCACTGCAAGTCGCCGCCCTCCGCTGCATCGCTGCCGACAGCAGGCTGCCGATGGCAGACCGCTGACCAAAGCTGGGCAGCACCTCAGATTCCACTTGCGAGTACTAGGAAATCTCCATGCGAATAGGCAAACGGAGGGAAGATCGGCATAATCCGAATGCTCGTAAAATGCACACGGCCGAGTACTATTTTAAGTTGTCGGATAGTGTAAGCATCGAAACACCCTTTCGTAAGAAAACATGGATAAGAAAACATAGATAAGGACGATGATAAGAAAACATGGATAGATTTAAACATAAACATATAAACATATTTAGTACTTTTTAATCTATGATCATTTATATTTTAATGATATGATTGTGATACTAATTATAAATAAAAAATTATAATTAAAATATTTTAAAATCAAGATTGAATTAAATATCTAGATAAAAAATATAGTATATATCTTTTGAATAGGAAGCACCTCACTACACAGATTTATCTGTAATGTTATTATAAGCTTTAGGAGGTCTCTCGCTAATATAAATGTATTATTGGTCATAATAATCTAATTAGAACTTTAATTTATCTTAAAGTTAAATAGAACCTCAAACATAAAAAAAAGAAAACTGGATTTGACGTCGAGATGCCCAGGAAGCTGAGATGGTCCCGTCAACTTGTTTGGGCTATGGTTTGTTATTTTCCAATTGCAGGTTTGTTTGGTGGGTCCGGGTCAAATTTGTAATCGATTCGACCCGAACTCGGTCAGTTGGGTATCAACACTTGTCCGACACCGCCGAATGTCGACCGCGTGCAACGCCCGTAAATAACGGCCGTTGCGCCTAAAATAACGCGCTACCGATGTACTGCTATTGTGGTTCGTTTGGCCTCCGTTAGTCTCCTCTTCTTCCTTGGGACTGGGGGGAGCGAACCGGTGAGAAAATGGCGTCGTCCTCCAAAAGCCACCGTCCTCGGTCCAAGAGGGACGATGACAGCGACGAAGAGGGAGTTGGCGGAGGCGCCGCCTCTTTGCCGGATCTCCTCCAGTTCTGTAGCAGAGCCGAAACCCTAATCTCTGAGCTCCTCTGCCTTTCCGATCGCGTCCCCCCCGAGTTCCTCAACCGCCACTTCGAATCCGTTCTCTTTGATCTCAGGTGCGTCCACCTCCGAAACCTTAATTGAGTTCTTGTTGCCGATCAGACACCTAGCATTCGATCCTTTCGCCTTACTAAGGATTGGCAGGACTTGTTGGCGTAAAGTATTCTCCTGATCTCATAAGAATTATGATGACCTACAGATTATATAATTCAAATCATGTTTCATCTACTGACTTGAGCTTTTAGATGCAATGACATTGACAAAAAAAATTAAGATGATATCAGAGTGGAAGGTCCTATGTCCGAAAACATATCCAAGTTATGCATTAAAAAATATGTCACTGATCAATTCAAGTTTCACGTCTTCAGTTTCAACCATCTGTCAACCGGTGACATGAGAGGAGTGTTAAGAATACAAGTCAGATCATGTCTTATTTACTAGTTTCAGCTTTTAGGGCGAGTGAAGTGATTAAACATTTAAGATGATATCTAAGTGGATTGTATTGTGTTGAAATCCAGGCCATGTAATTAATTCAAGTTTCACACGTTGGGTTGAGGCATTTGCCACCTACATGTAAGGGGGAGTGTTAAGAATATAAGTAATATCATGTCTCATGAACTCATCTACTGGCTTAACTTGTTAGATGCAATGACATTGATAATTAAGACATCTCTGCTTCTCTCACATGAGAATAACATAGGCTTATAAATAGTAACCTAGGCGACATAATAATCTTTATTCCTTTTTTTTGTTCATGGAGAATGGATTTTCGGATTTGGAGGAGATTCATAGGATATTTTTATGGATTCTAGTGAAAATTTATACATTTGGATGGGGAAATTGTAGCATGCTGATTTTACTAAGGGGAGGAAGGCATTTATTTTCCCTTTTTTGGTTCTTGTCAACCATTGTGAATCGATAGTTGCCTGCTGCTTAAGGAGACATAAAATAGATTGTTGCATGTTGGTTATAATTATAGTCTGTTGGCATCTGCACGGACTGGATGGAACTTTGATGTACTATAAGAAGATCTATATTTGGAAACGTTTTTGAAACATAGAATCTATCTTCCTGTTATTGCCTTCAATGTGGGTGTGTGCTCATGCAGAACAAGAATTTTTTTTGAACAGTTTGGATCCAATTTTTTTTCTTCTAATAAGCCAAACTATCCTTTTCTTACAACTCCAATTTGATAAATAAATTCATTTGATCTGTAATTGTTTTTGGCTTCATTCTTTTATATTCTTGCTTTTAAGGTACTTTGACTCTCCTAGTATGTTTGAGACAAGGATCGAAGGAAACATTAAACTGGAAGCACTTGAAGACCAACTCCGTGAATCTTGTTCTGCTTTCATGCATAGATTCTTTCTTTTGGCCAATGGTGCTGTTGTATACCATATGGAGCTCCTTAAGTACCTAAATGAGCTGCAGGTAAAGTCATATCAGTAATTGATTAATACCAAAACTCTTGTTGCTTAGTATTACAAAACGTATATAGTACTTCTAATGATTTCATCATACAGAAAATTTTCACAGTTTAATCTTATAATTTCAATTTGTTATTGGAAGCAATGACTGACATTTGTTCAGTTGTTTCTTTTAAATATTACTGTACCTGGTGAATAATTTCATCATGTTAATTTTAGCTTCTGACATGATTGAAGCTTCTAAATTACAAAATATATGGGACTTGAAAAATGTTTATGATTTTCGCTATCTTTATATTTCTTTTGATCTTTTGAGAGATGCTTATAATGACATATGTTATTTCTCAAAGGAAAGTAGCACACATGATGTTTTCCATGCAAGACAAGGTTACCTATTGTGTTTGTGCTGTTGGACGATCGCACAACACTGTTCCATACCTACTGTACTGTGTCAACCTTTTAGTGTCATGTGGCTTTCTAAATAGAAGAAGGTGTGAAACTATTATTGTTTTCCTCTTTTCCTAATTTGTTGTTCTTTTGTCATGACCCAATTTGATTAGATAATTGACCTATAAACTTGATGAACTTAAACCATCGATCCAAACTGCTTAAGTCTAGGTTAATATTAGTCAACCCATCTAGTCTTCCTATACACCAACTCAATTCTTCTCGTGTCACATCTTTGATTCAACATGTTCCTCAAACTTAAAACTTAATATCATGTACTCTGGGTTTGTACAACTAGATAGAAATCAATGCGGGATTAGTACTGGTTATTCAGTGTAGTTCTTTACTACTGTTTGCTTCCACTTTTTCTATCTCTGCATGACAAAAGGGTATATTGTTCTTTATAGTAAATTCATCCTAGCATCTCCTTGGTTGGTTACGAATGTCTTGAAGATCTTCAAACATAACTGAAGGCACTCAAGAAATGTTGTGAGTGCAAGTCCTTACTGGTTTATATGTGTGTGTGTGGGTGGGTGTGTGCTGCTTATGCTATTTCTGTTGCTACTCACCACAAAAGAACATACAGAAATACGCATGTTCAGAGATGTATATTTGAACTTGTGTATATCACTTGGCTTTCTGAAAGTTCATCATGATTGTACCTAAAGAAACCTAGCATTTGATATATTTTACATTTTAGGAGCTCTATTTTGATGGTACATCTTGCTGTTTGATGTTAGTGATGGCATTGTGATACATTTGACAAAATATTCAATCTTTCTGAACTTGGCTCAACATTTTGCTGTTGGGACAGGTTGTCTTTTAAATGTTTGACTCATATGGCTTTATGGAAGAGTTATGATTGAGTTATTCAGCCTCAATCACTTGATTTAAGGTGCTTACTGTATAAGATGATAGGTCCAATCTTTGGCGTCTGATATGCAGCATGATAATAATGATATTATTTAAAAACATGGTCCATTGCATGAGGCTTCTGCCATTATAGAGACTAAGGAGCCTTAACGTGATCTTGCTACATTGTTGTCTTGTTAAGGATGATGCTATCTAGTTAAGGGGAAAAAACCCACTACTTCTAGGTCTCTTGTGAAGGATTGGGTTGTTCTTGTGAATTATCAGAACAATCTAGTGAAATACAACATTTAACCAAAGGATTTTATAGATGATCATCGTAGCAAACTTTTAATTATCTCTCAGAATTTTCTTTGTTTGGTGGTACCACTTACAAATTAATAAGATAATCATGTGCTAGAACTTGAGATATAAATTTGCTACTTGGACTTGTATTTAACTGTTTTCCTTTAAACAAATATATTTTGAACTTAGAATGCTTATTATTTTTTGATTTCTCTTCTATTCTTCCCTAAGGCTATCAAGTATTTGTGTTTTTCATACAGGAAGGCTTGTATGTGCAATGTACTCTAGATAGAGTACTCGATGATGAATGTGGCAGGCAGTTGCTGGCAGAGTCCATACAACTCTTTGGATGCCTTCTATTATTGGTTGAGCACCGAATGGGTGGCTTCTTGAGAGAGAAAATTCTTGTGGCATATTTACGCTATACTCGCTGCTTTGATTACCCGAACATAAAGCAGATCTGCTCATTTTGTCATGCACACCGACCTTTATCTGACACAATCTTGGATGTTAGCTCACTTTCTTTAAGATCAGCAATGATTCTTATAGAGAAGCCTGAAGTTATCTTGGCTAGATTTCCTTTTCCCAAATTGGTTGTTGATGCTATCATATCTCGTCTGCGGAGTGATGACTTGTACGATCAAGCACGCCACTATCCAGATCCACAACATCGTACTGTAGCATTGTCATTACAGGCCAGATGTTTGTACATTCTACTGCTTTATTCAACTGAGTTTTTGCATGATGGTTTTGTTATGCGAGAGATCGTTGATCGGTTTTTCAAAGATCACTGGGTTGTACCTATATTTTTACATTATGCGGTAGATCTGCTTGCATCATGGGATGCATATAAAGAAGCGAAATTGTCAATATCCTCTTGTCATTCTCCAACATTAATACGTGATCGCTGCCATAATCATTGCAGTCAGGTACATGTGCAATTTTGACTCAAGTTCTGAGAAAGAATACATGTGAGTACGTGTTGTCTTTGGACAACTTTTTTCACATCACCCAGATATCATAACTGAGTTCATTCTTGATGCTAAAGATAATTTTGTCTTCCTTTTCATTACTAATATATATATATATATATATATATGTATATACACATGTATACATGTGTATAAATATGTATATATATATACATGTATACATGTGTATAAATGTGTATATATTTATATATGTATATATATATATATATATATTTATTTATGCTGAAGATAACTTTATTTTAAATTATTGCCATTAATTCTATGTGAAGAAATTAAAAAGTCACATGCCATCTAAACTGACGTGTCCTTGGAGTTATTTGGAGTTTGGTACTAACTTGATGGCCTTCCATTGCCAAATGATGCTGTTGATTTTTTGGTAAACATTTAAACAGAATTGCTATTTCATTTGTAATTTGTGCTTATCCCTTTTGTGTTGAACATCTTGGAAACTTGTTTCCTGCATGGCAAAGGTCTTGGGTGATCATGTGGGGTTGAGGAACCTAAGAAATAGCTTATGGTTAGCCTTTTTGGTTGAGGTCCTTAATTGTTATATATATTGGAACCCTTGTTTTAATTGGTCTTGTCCACATTTTGTCTTACTAAAAGAAAAACAAATAATTGGTTGTGGTACACACTAGCTTTTTTGTACCATCGCTATTAATTAAGTCTATAGTTGTTGATCTAGCTTGTTATCCATGTTTTTAAAGTATGTTCATCTAAACTACTTTAGAGTGTTTCTAGTGCTTTTATTTTTTGTTACACTATCTCTTATGATTTTCTTGTTTTTAACTTTCGAGATATTAATTTATTGGGACTTTTTAGGGCTAGACATTATGATTAGAAGAAGACTACATGTTATTTGTTTACAAGAGACCAAGTGGAAAGGAGAAAAATAAAGAGTTTGATAGTGCTGGATTTAAAATTTGATATAAGGGAAAAATTAAACATAGAAATGGTGTAAGAATCATTGTATATAAGAATATTAACAATAATGTTCTAAATAAGAAACTATATGGATATAGAATTATATTTATAAAAGTTATTTTATGAGAGGAGGTTTTGAATGTTATAAGTGCTTTATACCTCTCAAGTTGGACTAGATGATCTAATTAAAAGAGAATCTTAGAAAACCTTAAATAATATCATTCAAAAAATTCCCATAACTGAAAAATTTATAATTAGAGGAGACTTAAATGGTTATATAAGAAAAACATATAGTGAATATAAAGGGTTGCATAGGGCTTTGGTTATGTAGAGAGGAATGAAGAAGGTGGTATGATTTTAGGATTTTCTATTTTGTATGATTTCATAACCGTTAATACTCAGTTTACGAAAGAATTATGAACATTTGATTAATCATAAGAGTGGTCATAACTGTAGTTCAAAGATAATATGTAAGAATTGTAAAGTTATGCTTGGTGAAATCTTGACAAATCAAAATAGGTTTATGATATTACATATTTGTTGTAGAAAAAATGGAAGAAGAAAAAGATAATAAAAGATTTACTATGACTAGATAGTGAAATTTTAGAGATAATAATATAAGAATTTAAGAATAGGATGGAAAGGAAGCGGCTTGGAACTTAGATGAGGATAGTCTTAATATTTTATGGATTATGAAGACCAATAAGATTTAAATCTCGGGTGGCAGGCATAAAATACTACTCCTCGGTCCATGCACCACCCTCAATTTGTGTAGATGAGACCATTGACTCCCTAGCATCATCACTATCATCGGTTGAGGTATTTCTATCTATGTCGCTATCATGTCTTTGGGCTGAGTGAGTTGTTGAATGCGATTGAGAAGTTGTCTATATACCTTTGATTAGAGAGTTCTTCCTCTAACTTAGATGTTAATCCTCCTTAATTAGTCTCCCAAGTTTGATCCAATCCACAAATTGCAGCTTTGTGAAGTTTTAAACTTTTAAGAGTGTGCAAATGTGAGAATAAGAGAAATAAGTGAGTGAAAAAGAGATTGAGAAAGAGGGTGAAAGAGGGGGAGGAAAGGGTTAAAAACCCTATCAAATGGATCTAACCATTGGAAAGGGTCAGATCTGAGTCGTTCGTCGGTAACGGTTGAAATCTGATTGTTACTGATTGGAATAGGTCGGTAACGGTTGGATTTCGACTATTACTGAGCGGTACAAGCCCATATTAGGCTATACAGAGCCTTTTAGCATATACCATCCAATATAGGGTGGTCTGCATACTGGTCCCTCATTGGATCAACTCGTACCGCCCATATCGGGCGGTATACCGTAGTACGACAAACCTTGGTTCTAAGTAGAGAGGATTTAAAATAAATATCTCTAAGAATTAATTTGATTTTATGCTTTGAAGATCAACAAAAAAAAAATTCATTTATTAAGATAAATAACGAAAAAGTATAGAAATAAATAGAAAGAAATTCAGATGTTTTTTCTTGATCTAGAGAAGACCTATAATAGACTTCGTAGATATTTATTATGATAAGTTCGAGAAGATTTATAATAAAGTTCCTAAAGTATATGCATGATAATATAGTCACTATTGTTAGAGTTATAAGAGTTTTTGTCTAGTGAGTTTCCTATTAGTATGAAACTACATCTAAGTATGGTTTGATGTATTGCCTAAAACTGTATGATACGAGCGATACATACTGATCTGAGAGTTGATAGGAATGCGGATTGCCCTGTATTGGGCAGTATAGCAGTTGGGGGGGTGTATAAGGTGAAATGGTCAAAATTTGATTGTTACCATCTTGTGCTGATTGGTAATGGTTGGTTTCGACCGAAATTAATCAAGGGCTTAGATTGAATTGTTCAAATGATCAATTTGATCATTGGACCCATTTGAATGTCTATTTAACCCATTCCTCCCTCCTCTCTCACCATATTTCAATCTCACATCTTCTAATACTCTTTCTCACTCAATCACTTTCTCTTTCTCACAAATTCTCACTATTGTTCAATATTAACGGAAGAATCATCGGGAACGTGTCGCAAAGCTGCTCATCAATGTCTAAAAAAGATAAATCCTCTATCCCTTATTTGAATATTTTTTATTGAAATAGAACTAAATTTGCAATTTAGTTCTAATTAAAATACCCTAATTTAGGTTTTTCTTAATTTTCATGTATTTTCAGAGTTTTTTTGGGCATTTTTGGAATTGTCGACATGTTTCGGTGTACCATGAGTTGATACACCGATACAAATTGGTATGTATCGGACTGGCCAAGGATCGGCATGACCAATCCACACAAAATTGTAGTCCTTGCGCATAGGTACCTACCTAACTTTTTCACATTGATAATAAGCGAACATACTAGTCATTTATGGGTTCTGCTTCCTTGATGGATGTTATTTGTTAATGATACTATCTTAATGAGATTTTAAATGGAATTAACTCTGAACTTGAGTTTTGGTGATAATTCTTGGAAACTAAAAGTTTTAGATTAAGTAGGATTAAAACTGAATCTATGAGATAGAATGATTTAATTAAGAATGATAAAATGTTCAAGCAAGTTTAAAGGATGATTGATGAAAATTTTATTCATGATAAAAACATGATGGTTAAAATGATGAAGCACATGTCTTATGTAATTATCGAGCATCTTTGAGATTAATTTTTTTTTTATAAGGTAAATATTTGATCCTATGTTTTATGAAATTGAGTATTGGATAGTTAAGGAACAAAAAAAAAAATTATGTTGCTAGGATGAGATGTTGAGGTGGATGTATGGAATCAATAAGGAAGTCAGAAAAAAATATTTTCATTCGTGAACAATTAAATGTTACTTCGAGGGAGAATAAAATGAAAGACAATCGTTTAAGATGACATAGATATAAATCTATGCATATGATAGTCAAAAGATGTGAAATGATTACTATTAGTTGTATGAGGACTATTGGAATGAGGAGATGAGGAGAGTTAGAGGGAAACCTAAAGGCTTTAATATAAATTATAAGTAAAAATTTAAATCCCCCTAACTTAGTTAAAGATATGACTCTTTACGAATCTGGTTCCAAAAGATTCATGTAGCTGATCCTAAATAGTAGGGATTTTACTCCGTTGTTGTTGTAATTTGTTGGGATTTCTTTTGTTCATACGTAAGTCTAGAATTCTCAAATGGATTATCAATGGTAGTAATCAAGAAGCATAATCTGGTCACCAAGCCCCTTGCATGTGCAAACAATTTTGTTCTTGACCTATACTATAGCATTGATAACAACTAGGACATGCCTATTCTTTATTTTCACATATGCCAGTCTTTTATCAGCATGGTGCCACAGCACCTAGCACGACTTGGTTCGGGTCCAACTTGCATTCTGCTCAAAGTGCTTGCGAGTTCCCAAGGTGATGTCGGCGTACACCAAGATCAATGTCGGGTGGGGTTCATGATGTGGTTCCTCTAACACTCAAGTTGGCTCGAGGGTAAAGATAGAGAGAGATCTAACCTTGATAATCGTGTCCCCGATCACCCTGTATAGCTGGTCCCTCCTAATCACATATGGGTAGGGAAAATATACTTTGTGAACAGAAAATATCTGATAAATATTTTCTATTAGGGTGTTGCAGATGTGGCATATTTGGTGGTTTGGCTTTTTTGTCTTTTTCTGCTAATTGGGTTGCCACGTGGAGCCTTCTTTAGAGGTGAATATTACACGTTTCATACATATACTACCAAGATAAATGGTGGAACGCACATGATAAAAATTGGGTTACTGAATACTGAACATGAAAGTGAATGCATTTGGGTCAAGATAATAGATTATCACCATTCAGAAGCTTTTGGGCAAAGATTCTACATCACTTTGTGCTATATATATGTAAGTGATGTACGTCATATCATGGAAGAATCATAGAACAGCAAAATATTGAGCTCATGTGATTAGCAATATGCAATTAAATAATTTGGTTTATTGGACAAATTGTTTTATATAGATCTCTTTAGTCTTCGATTAAAGTCCTTGTCTAGTTCCAACTCTAGCAATTGAAATTTGTAATTTTTTCAATTTTTTGATGATTTTTTGGGTCAGTTTTCACTATTTTGTTAAGATAATATCACAAAGAATTTAACAATTGGTTTTTCTTAATATTTTTAATGATTGTCTGGGTCAGAGGTAATGACACAGCAAGGAGCAGAGGGACATAAGGACAGTGCTAGAAAGGCCCAGTAAAAATATAATCTAGACTTGATTTATTCTGAGGAGACATCATGGCGGCCAGTGCAATGCATGTGCAGTCAAAGGTTAGGACCTTGAGTCTTGTTGTTGATCTTAAATGTAATACATATATTAACGAGTGGAGTTTCTTTTTTTTATAATAGAAGATAGTAAAATGTAGCTCAGGACGCTTACAGGTTGCTGATTTTTTTTCTTGGAAATGACTTCCAAGATAGATGGTTCTTTGTGAGGAACATACTTCTCATGTTTCTGGGAAATTTTAAGGAATCCTTTTCAAGTCATTCATTGTGTGCTTTGGGAATGGCTTCTAAGATAGATGGTTCTTCATGAGGAACATCTTCTCATGATTTAAAATTTTTTTAGTATATCCCGTTTTAACCATTTAAAAAATTCTTAGGAAAATCACATCTTTATATTTGTTGTTTGAAGCTGTACCTTGATGTCAGGGTAAGAGGTTACCAAGGTTCAGTCACAGAAACTCTCATGCAGTGGGCCACACTGTAGAGTTTTTGTGTTTTGTATGCATATTTTGATTATGATTTTTTACATTATCTATCTGTGTTCATGAAACTGTTCAGTAATATTGGACATGACACCCATGCTTGATTTTTCCCACGTGCTTTGCATATGTGAGATCTAGCATCTTTTAATTTGTCCATCTTGAACAATTGAGAACAATGGTGATAAAAGATTTGGATTGGGTTAAACCTCAAAAGCTTAAAGGAAAGGCCTAATACATATTAAATTCTAAACTGCCCCTCTCACATCTGATCCGGATTAGGCTTGACATGTCCAATTGAACCTAGGTTTGTGGTGGAAGCCTAAATGAGTTCAGTTGAGGAATGAACATTGCACAAATATCAATTAAACACTGGGCTAATTAAAGAGGAGCGGATACAAGATTCAAACTCAAACCTGCTTTGGTACTATGATAAAGATTTGGATTAGGTTATCCCAAATCCAAGAATCTTAGGCTATTAGGAAAAGGGCAAAATATATATTAAACTCTAGCAGATGGTACTATGTTGTGCATTTGACAGTGACAAATTGATGTAACAGCATTTATTGTCTATTGAACTTTAACAAAGCCCTCAGTCTTGATGTAAATTATCATGCTAACTTTATCCCTTTGCACCATATTTGTTGGAACTGATTATATGTGTTTGGCAGGTTAGACATCTACTGTCCAAGATAGATTTGGTACTCACTGGTTCGGTTTTAACCAAAGATTATGTCTTGGATAGATTTCAGAACTTGCTTTCACTGGTCAGAAATTGCAATGTTGCTCTGCGCTGGCTTTTGCTTCATAGAATTGTGAGCCTCTAGTCAGATTATATATACACATGCCTTTGTTCTTGTTTATGCTTGCAACTAACTTAATGATATATTGACATCTTTATTTTTACTTGTTGCAGTTAAACTTGAAATAACTCTTTCATAACTCCTGACTTATTGTAATATTTGTTATCTTGTAGAGCATCGGGAGAAAATTCCGGGAAATAGTTACCTCTGTAGGGATATCAGAGCAAGTGGATGAAGACTGTCTATTAGTACTGCTATTGAAGACCTCCCAAGTACTATGTTTTCCTGAGACATTCCCTTTATTAGCTGTTTCTTAATGCAGTTCATCTGTCTTATGATACTGTTCACTTTTGTTAAAATAGTTGGAGTTCAAGGTGAAAGAACTTATTGTAGAGCTTCTAGAGAACAAGGAAGCTTTGTGGAATGAAAAGAAACATGGTGCTTCTGAATGTATTGAAGAACTATCTGGCCACTGCTCTGGATCTTGGGTAAATACTAGCATGTTCCTACAATTCAATTGTTTATTGAGGTCATTCCATAGAATTGCTTCTTGATAAAATTTTTGAAGGGATTTTGTTGTGGCTGAGCTTTGACTTGCAATTCTGTCCAAAAGAAAACAAGCGTACTTCTGCAATCCTGTTATCATACATTTCTCTTTTTCTACATTCTTTTTCAGTGGAACCACCAAGATTGAATACTTATACAGGCTGATTGGCCTTGCTGGTCAGCTAGTGTGCTGTGTTGTTCTCCAGAATTCTCTTTATATGAGATTCTGAACAATGAAGTTTGATATCAGGTAGGGAGTTGGTCAGCAGACATTTCCAAGTTTTAAAGGGATAAATTATAGATGGTAGGTCCATTGTAGTTTTTAATATCCAGAGAGATGCAACTTTGATTTCAATTTTAGGGCATTCCAGCCTGGCCCATGTAATAATTATATGGTGGGTGCCATATTGTGTGACAAGCCCTTTTGACAGTTTTTGGCTTGTGCAATGTGTGGCATATTGTGCTGGCACATAACCAGCAGGAGCATAGTGGGGAAAACCAAATTCTTCCTTTGACGAACAGTCACATTATGAGGCAACTTTAAACTAGAGTTGCATATGGTAAACTGCTGCCTGGGAATAGGCATTTCATGAACATCAACTTTATAAAGTTTCAGATGCTAAAGAATGTCTTTTCATTTTATTGTCCAATACTTGGAGGACTATAAAATAAATGAAGAGAAATTGATTTATTAGCCAACGATCTTGGAGTCAAATATAATACCCAATTTAGCCAACTATGATGAGTCATAATATCTTGTTGCTCATTTCACTATCTTAATGAGCAAGGTTTTCAATTTCGATGTGTACCGCTTGGTACGAGTGGTAAGTACCGATCCGAGAGGATATTGGTATGCGGACTACCCTTTACCGGGTGGTACTAGTGTTTTGACTGGTACCGAGGCATACCGATCGATATCACCCCAGATTTCGATCGTTACTAAGGCGTACCAATCGGTATGTCCTGACATGGTAGGTGGAGATATTTTTAAGGTTTTAGGGTGTACCGTCGGTAGGTGGAGATATATATATATATATTACTTATATATATAAATATAAATATAAATATAAATATAAATATAAATATATATTTGTATTTATATTTATATTTATTTATATATTTATATATAAAAGTAAAAAAAAAAATCTACGACGTCGCCTCTCTTCTCCCCAGGCTGTCACGAACGGTCGTCGTGCACCCGTAACAACTTCGTTCAACGAACCATTTGTCGCTTTTGCATGCTTGTACAGAGACATGACTGTCTGTTTTGCCTTGGTTTTGTGTGTTTTTGCTTGTAAAAATGCATGTCCGAACAAGTTGCAGCGCTGCAGTGTGACCGCTCGACGTGCTGGGTCGAACTGCCCCAAAATGGCTTCGTTTTCGCGTGTCGATGGCTTGTTTTCTACAAGCCGCAGCTGCACGCAAAACGTCAGCCATCTCAACACCCTGGAACCCCCCGGGTGGCATAGGGCTGGATGGGGCTTCGGTATATTGTCGGGCGTTAAAAAATCTTCACAAGTTCGCACGTTAACTTGACGGGAACTTGCCTTCGCGCCCGGTACTCGGTGAGCAGTTGTTTGTGGACTTGCAACTGTTCGTTCTACCTTCTAAAGTCCTTGTTTTCCTCCTTCCCTTCTTTTCTCTTATGCACGCAAGGTGTTCGTTGAATTGCTTGCAAAGCTTCCCTTTTCGCGAGATGTCGGGACTTGTCCGTCGCTCGTTTTCGAACTAATCAACTTTCTCTTTTACAGGTCCTTTGAGACCCGAGTGAGGTTACAAATTGGCTGACCCTTTGCGGACGCATATCGCAAGGGTGCGTCACGACTTAGGCAATCCCAACTAAGTCCGAGAAGTTGGCATAAGGGTGCTTCGTGACTTAGGCAACTCAAGCTAAGTTCGTGTCTTTGCCGCAAGGGTGCCTCACGGCTTGGACAATTCCAGCTAAGTCCGTGACAAGGCGGGGCAATATCGCCTCGGTGACGCTGCCTATATATATATATATATATAAGTAAAAAAAAAAATCTGCGACGTTGCCTCTATTTATTTATATATATATATATATTTATATATAAAAGTAAAAAAAAAAATCTGCGACATTGCCTCAGTGACGTCACCTCTCTTCTCCCCACGTGGGGCGACGTCGCACAAAAATGAGGCGACGTCGCCGAGTCGCCTTTATATATATATATATATATATAAGTAAAAAAAAAATACCGTCCGGTAGCGGGCGGTATTATTCGAAATTGAAGACCTTGCATATTGGTACATACAATACTGGGCAGAGCGAGGTATGCCGGTACGGACCGGTATTCAAAACCCTTTTAATGAGATAACTCAGCATCTTTCCACCTTTGTCCCTAAAAAGTAAGTGGTATAACAAGCTGTTGGGAGACAAAACATATAGATAAAGCCTAATTCTGATATCCTTGCCAATGCGTTTGTATTAGTCTTATTTTATTAAGCAATAAATAGTTGAACTGGTTACAAGATTATGCAATTTTTTATATCATATGATTTTCATACTTTGATAACTGATTATGTTCTTAATAATTCAGGCTGCTAATTATGCAGTGTAGATCATAATGATCCAAATGAGATTAACTTACATTCTTTGCTCATTTAACCTGAACTGGTAGCCTCGTATGTTAATAAAATAAAGGTTATCTTGACTTTGTGCATTTTGGTTCTGCCTGGCGGAGTAAATTATCCATAGTTATGTCTACACGTTGAGTAATGAGTCTGTAAATTCAGCCAAGTGTTATTAATGTCATCTTATAACTATGTACAATTTGATTCATTTGAGAAGATCATAGAGCTAACATTGATCTATAGTGTTCATACTTTTTTGAATAAAAATATGCAGCCTTTATACAAAGTTCTTTAGTTGTGAAGCTGTTTTTATTAAATATCTAATGGCTGACTGTAGTGATGACTATTTATGGTCTGTTCTGGCTCTAACTGTTGTTCCTTGCAATGCTAATTTTGCAAGCATTCTGGTCATCGGTTTTATATATCCTCAAATATACAATTTTCCTGATTAATTTTATATTTCTATTAATCTGTAGAGTGTTTGGCTTTTCAACATTTTATGCTTTATGTAGCCACACAAATAATTAGGACATCACGATCCATTGTTATTGAGTACTAGTTATTTCCTCTAGCATCCATTGTTATTATGAATTGTGATTTCCTCTAGCACTATGATCCATTGCTTCTTAGTTGTGCTCAACATGCACTACGTCTTACATTTATTAAATGGTTATTGGTTTTTGATGTGTTTTAGGCTTCACCATGCAAAACTAAGAATGAAAGTCTGAAGGACTGGTTTGGAAAGCTGTCACAGGAGGTTAGTGATATCACTGTCTATGATTTGCTTGTCTATTTCTAGGAAATGTAAGAACAGGGCAACTAATTGACAAAAAAATTAGATACTTCATTTTGCTGTTTATAGATGACTAATTATTAGACGCATTTTCTATATCTCTGTATCTGATGTTGTATTAAGGTAGTTAAATTTGCATTGGCTTATCTATTGTGTTTAGTACTCAGGGTAGTTAATCCTACATTGGAAGCTGTGACATGTGTTTAGTGTTTGTAAGTCATAAATTGTTAATTAATAATTGTATGTTTGGTTAAAATATGACCATATTAGTCAATATTGTTAAATTATAAATGTATCAAGTAAACCAGCTTGCTACTTTATACTACTTAGAGATGTTAATTAAATGATCTTTTGGGGGAAAAAAGTGTGTCCAAACCAAACAGTAGAATGATTTACCTATGAGTGTACTTTTAAATTTCTTTCCTTGTATCAATCCTCCTTTTCTTATTCAGCGAAAACCCTTGATCTCATACACCAATGACCATTGTTTTTCCTTCCACACTGTCATGGAAAACTTTGTCTAATGTCAAGCAGGAATGAAATTTACATTTATGTTTTCATCTCATGATAATCTGCTTAAAATTTATCATAATCTAATTATGTTTTTCTTAGGGCAGGTTTGCTTGTTGGACCACAGAAGAGCTGGAAGTTCAGGCAGGATAATCTATCGGATGATATCTACACTGAAGGACATTGAAAAATTCCACCAAGTGAGATTTTGTTCACCTTAGATGGTGATCATGTGAACTGAGTAAAATAAACTCTTTACTTTGCAATGTAATTCATACTTACCGACATGTATCTGCATCTAACTATATCCTGAAAAGAGAATCTAGTCCTTCTAATCTGGTTGACAAAGATTTTTCTTCTTTTATCTTTAGAAGGAAACATAGTCCTTTTAATCTGGTTGTTTACAAAGATATTACTTTTTTTTGTAGAAGGAAAAAAGATATATTTCTCTAGTCTCTCTCTTCCCTATTGTTCTTTTAAATAGATATTGTTCAACTGCTCCAATTGATAATACCTTGCTTCTATCGCTTTCCTACCTGATAAGCTATTTTTTTAGGGAAGGTCATATCATCTAGAATGAAGAATGGAGGGGAGAGAGACGAGAGAAATTGGGGAAAGAGAGAAATATGTTGTTGCAATAAGGAAGATGAAAGGAGATAGGCTTGCCTAAAGGTCTATGAGCATTTTTCTATAGACGAAAATGCTAGGACTCGATTAAATAAGCAAAAAAGTTAGAATGATAATGTTAGACTATTTCTCTTTTCCTTGGCTGACATCTCTTGTGAAGTTTTTGGCGCCAGCTATATTTTAGGTGGTTCCCCATCTTAGCTATTCAAAATAAAACATTATTCAGAATGGAGGTAGACTCGGAATAGTGCCATAATGCCATAGTGGTGGATTTGCCAATTGGGAAGAAAAACGATGTGGACGCAAGGCAACGAGTAGTAGGGCCGTGGGCATGAGAGAGAGTCACAGTACCGTATAGGCGGGACTTCTATATGACAATCGATCCCTCCCCTTATGGAGGGAGAGCGCATGGTCATGAAAAGGGGCCTAGGAGGTGGAGAATGTAGTGACAAACTTCATGTACCAACGCAAGGCGAAAGGTTAATGGCTAGGGAACTTTATAAAATTAGTGTTGAAGGGCTTCTCATCAAGATAGCTTAAAAAAAGTGATTTCAATAGGCTCTCAGGTGCTTGCCTAGGCGCTCGGGCGAGGAGAGGCGAGGCCCGAGCACCTCGCTTCATGTCCAAGCGGCACGCTTCAAAGAGGTGCTGCTTGGGTGCTCGCCCGAAGCGCCCGACGCCTGGGCTCGGGCTAGCGTCCGGGTTAAACCACGCGACCCCGGTGCCTTAGTTGGTTTAATCGAACCAACTAAAGCATCGATATCAGCCTCCCAACATCCCTCTCGTGACTTCCCCAACCCTAACCCTGCTCGCGATTCTGCCACTGGCATTTCCTCTCCTTTGTCGTTGCCTCTATCCACTATTGCTGCTCTCCGCTGCCACTGCCACTATCGCTGCTCGCCGCTGCCACTGTCGCTGCTCGCCGCTGCCACTATCGCTGCTAGCCGCTGCCACTATCGTTGCTCGCCGTTGCTGTCACATCGACTCGATAGCATACTGTTAACAGTATATTAACAACATACTAATAACAATATTTTTTATTTATTAGATTAATAATATATTATTTTGATTTTAATACTGCTAATTTTTATTTATTTGAAATTATTGTTATTGTTTTGAATTTTGAGACTTTATGTTAATGTGATATTGTGATTTTGCAAGATTTTCTTAGTTTAATATCATATTTTTTTTAAATAATTATATTTATTAATTATATTATATATTTTTATATTTTAGCGTCTCGTTTCGCTCGGGCGAGCGCCTAGCGCCTTGGGCATTTTTTGGCACCTAACACTTTTTAAATCACTGGTTTAAAGTGGGTGACTTTGGTTCGATACAGTGGTGCTCGACTATGCAACAAATTAGGCAACATGCAATGTTGTACACTTTTCTTCTTAGAGTAGGTGGCCAAAACATTAAAAAAGGTGGTGCAATCCCAGGGATGACCAAAATAAGTGGAGACTTGCTCTAGCCAAGTCAAAATTTTTCTCTTTTTGAGCAATGCTTCTTGTGTTTCGAAAGTTTGATGGTGATAAGATCAGAGAAGGTGAATCACGATAGCTAACTTAGCACAAGGGGTGCAATACTCGAGTGCTTTAGAAGTGTGAGGAAAAAGCAGGTTCGCATCAAGTGTTTGCTGAGATATTTGCTTGTGGGATGTTGAGTTAATGCTTCCACTAATTGTTCTTTCTTTTGCACATCCTTACAGGACCCTACGAGGTTATGAAGAGGTTGTATCTCTGCGGATGGACACTTTATGACCACTAATTTGGTCAAGAAGGGGTAATATCTATCGTTAGATGGTGATTCAACTTGTCTTTCTGTGGTAATTACAAGAGTTTGGGTTTTCTCTGGTTTTAGTTTAGGGCTGTTCCATATTTGGAAACCCTGCTAGACTAAGAGAGGAAGTTGAAGATCACACCTTACTGGAATCCTAAGGTAAATAGGAATCAGCAACCTTGACTGTTAAATTCATCTCCCAAGCCAGTAAAATTCTCCTCTATGAGGTAACACAATCCCATGAAGGGCATAAGCAGCTGACTTGGGAAGTATGAGCCCTATAAGCCACTGAAGCAATCCCTAAGGCCAACCAGCTCCTAGGGCTGCATTGCTCATTGACATTGCTGGCGATGATGCCAACATTGCTGGCCAAATTAGTCTTCTTCCATCCTTGAATGTTGATGCTGATGACAAATTTAAGCAATGAAAGGTCCTTAAATTAGTGAAATTAGCTATGTTGAGGAGCACAAAAATAGAAGTGACAAGTAGCGTAGCACAAAATTGCAGCATTACATGTTCCTGTGCGACGTTCATGCTGATATATTATGTGGCAATCAATATGCCTAGGAATAGGGTATCTGCTTGTTGTCTGAGGCCTTACACCATTGTAACGCCTTAATGGGGATCTCTAGGCATGGTATTACTCCCATGTTTGTAATATTCGGTGTCGTATATGTTGTTACATAGGTCAATAAAGAAGACTAGATGGCTGGTGGTGATTGGGTTTGCTACTTGCAGGTACTTGTGGAAGTAGTGGCATAAGCAGTCTGATGAGAGTATCCCAGTGAGAGGTTATGGAAAATGAACACTTCATATTGCTTGTTGTATCTTTATATGATATATTTTAGATATGATACTTGACAATATTTCTTAGTTTTACAAACATGTAGAATACTTCCTTGAAAGTGTTAAAAAGTTTTTGAAAGGAATTAATAATTTAAGGTACTTAGTGGATGATTTACAAATACTTTAATAGATATTTTTTAAATACTTTTGGGAGAATTATTTAAATATTCAACTTCAAATTCTAGATGATATTATTTTATGTCATTTGTATTAATTGTTAAATTATGATCAGTTAAATTTATCTAATGATCTCACTCAGTTATCAAATTCTTGCTATGTTCTCTATATTTCTAAATAACTATGTTTCTAAAAATAATTTTCATGATGGATAAGTAGGATGCTAGTTACTTATTTGATTATTCGTGATGATAAGTGCAATGTCAAAATTTGTCATGGATAATACATTTTCAGAAGATAGATTTTACTGTTACATCATATGTTATATTGTGTATTATAATCACAAGACTTGATACATTTTAGTATTTGTATTTTGTCATTTCAGTATCCCATTTCTGAACCCTTGTTTTGTAGGGTGGGAGGGAATTGAGACTTCGATAGGGAGGTAGATGATGAAGATGGTGTTGGAAGAGGCAAGGATGATAAGGGGGATGGTGTGTGATGGGTAGTGGATTGAAACATGTTTAGTTGGGTTGATAGATTTGGGTGGTACCGTGGTAGAATAGGGGAGATGGAGAACATGGGGGCAACATAAAAGGTTATAATTGAGAGGAGGTGGTTGGTGATAGAACTTAGAAGTTAGGAGAGTGGTTGGAAATGCTCAATCTTGTGATGAATTTCACCAAGAATTTTTAGACATTTGAATCCTTTACTTAAGCAGATAGGGCATGACACAGCTTAGAGAATACCTTTTTTCTGTCGACATTCTTTTACTTACGATGTAAGAAGAATTTTGTCCTACTGTTGTTAGCCAGCAAGAAATTTCTAAGGCCCTATTTTGTTGGGGATAAATTTCCGTGGTTTTTGCAAAGAGTTACAAGTAGGAATCCAAACTCAAAAACAGATATTTCTCCAAGTTTTTAACAAGGAAATTTTTTTTGTTTTTATCGGGGGATTTCAATTATGGGAATTATGTGTGAAGATTTATAAATTCTCGGTTTTGGAAGTTCCATGGGTACCGCTTGGAACCAAAAACCTGGGTTATTAATAGGGTGGGAAGTTCCATAGGGAACTTGGCTTTGGATTTGGAGGGAAGGATTTGGATAATGGGATATTGAGAGTGGGTTCTGAGAGTGGAACTTTCTGGATGTGATTTTGAGGATGTGTGGCCAAAATTCCACTATGTCATCGAAAATCCCTATGAAACCTCTCTACCAGATGAGGCTTTTGTGATTAGACATCTACCAACTAGTCCAACTAGTTTTTCCTGGGTAACAGTCCATACCCCTTGCTTGTTATAAGGAAAGGAATGTTGAGTTACTTAGGTATATATATGTATTAGGCTTTTTATTTTTTCTTGAGGAAAAATGCCTCAATTTCTTTAAAGTCAATGGGTCAGGCTAAAGACCTTTATAGCAAACTGTTGCTGAGGCCTAGAAGTTGAGCCAGAAAAGAAGCTAATAACTTTGATTGAGGTGAAAACTCCTGTGCTAGTGCATAAAAGAGGTACCTAATGTTTCTATAACAGTGTAATTGTCATATAGCTTTTCATTGTGCAGCTTGTTTATTCTCTCATCTAAACTTTTGTTGTTGTTTATCTTATGCACAAGTATATTACAGTTTTTGCTTATCCTTTTCTTTCTATCTTTGCTTATGTTACTATCTGAGAGACACATATAGATATACAATTAACAGAGAAAGATATCAGTTACTCAAGTTTATTTTCAGTTAATTTTTTATTTTAGTGATGGTTTAATTCTTAGAGTCGGTTTGTAACTGTTTTTTTTCTTTTTGTTAACATTTCAGATTGAAGAAAATGTACAATGTAAGCAGCATTTGTCAGAGTTGCAGAAGTACTTGCAAGATATGATTAAAACTCTTAATTTGGACAATGATGCTCTTTCTACATTTTCTGTGGTACTATTCTAAAATTTAGTTTAAGATTTGGCCAATAGGGTTAAGATTTAGCCTTAATTATTCTTACTCCCAGAAATATTTTATGTGTAGTAATATCAGAACTTTTTTTTTCTCCGATGTATGGTTGATAGTGCCAAAGTTTTTCTGACACAGAAGGGTTTATGGTTTAGTTCTTAACAACCATGCAATGTGGAAGAAAAGAAAAGCAAGATGAAGCATCTCCTTGTATGATAAACTAGACATTCTTGTAACCTCACTGCCCATTGACAGCTGTACTGCACTGAGCAACAAATGTCATGACAAACCATTATTAGGAACTCCACAATGTTTTGCTCGTCACTTTGTTGAGAGTGAACTTTCCGCTTCAGTTTTACTTGCAGGGAAAATTAATTATTTTATAAAAAATTCTCGTCTTTTTAATAAAAAGATTGGCATATGCTATCAATCTTCTTCCAACAAGATGGTGAGATTGGAATGCTATGTGATAACCAGAATGCTAAGAAATATTTCTTTTAAAGAGGGGAAGCAACTATTGGATCTTACTGATCAACCTCTTGAAAGATTCCTTATTTACTGAAAGTGGCAATACTGTCACAGATAATATAATAATTAACTCATTGAGAAAGCTGGTTGGCCTGATACCATAATATATTCACCCAAATTTCTAGGTAGTTTATGTAAGGATTTAAATACCAGTCCCTAACAGATACCGTACATTCTTACAGGATGGGTTAGAAAATATAAAAATATTTCTATATTTGAATTACTCTGCTATGGTTGTACCTTATACCTGTTTGGCGTTTGGGTCAGCATTTACCTGTCAGTACAATTAATTTAAATTATTGATTAAGAAATGAAGGTTGTGTGTGTACCTTGCATTACCATCTTTGTAACTGACCTTTAACCTTTAGCCACAAAGTATAACTCAGAACCAAATGCTCCATGCACGTATTGCCTATTTTTAACATACTGCTCTATGCTGGCTGGGATGATTTGAGCTTGGGATTCTGAACGGAAACTATTTTCAAAGGCAGACAATACTAGTAAAATTTTTAGTGAGGCACATAGACCAAATAATTCAGATATAAATAACAACTTTATAATTGTTGGGTTTGGTGTTGATTTGCAACTCTCTTGTTAGGTATTATGATATGTCTCTATGACACAATTTACTTTTTATATGAGAATAATACCAGAGTTAAGGCATCTCTTGAGTGTACTAGCTAACTAAACTATCAAGCAATCAAAAGAACTAAAGTGCACGTTCCATGGCTTTCACAATTTTCATTTTTTTTAATTTCATATTCACATTCCATTATCTGCTGTGATTATAATTTCCTGTTAAATGATAAATTGATTTTTTGTGCTTGCAGCAGATTAACTTAAAATTTCGATGGACTTCAAACTGTTACTGGGCTTCAAATTTTATATTTGTAATTAATCACCCATAAATGGATATGGATAGTTGAGTAATTTTGTCAAAATAGCAGCTTAAGCTGCTATGTGCTGATGATTTGGGTATATCTTGAGTACTGAGACAACCTTTGCCAAATTGGAAAATCTTTGAGAAATTTTATTCAGGAATATTCCAGTTTAATTCGCCCTAATGATTATATTTAAGATTTCTCTATCATCCCTTGACATGGAAATTTTATTTTATTTATGCAGATTACAGATGCTATATATGCTTGGGGGTATATTCCAAGGTTTGGTGAACTGCTTGGCAAGAAGATTGAGCTAGATCCTTCACTAATGCTCATTCTGCATATGTTTTTTCTTAAGTTTCGGAGATGGGTAGATGCACCATTATTACGGGTTGCACAAAATGAAAGGTTTTACTGCAGACAATTAATACATCTTCTTTCTTTCTGTGTACATATTGTGCATCTTTTTCTCATGTAGCTTGATTTCTATATTTAGTATTTTATATTGGAGTTGCTCCACAATGGCACAGTATCATGGATTCAAAAATCACTTCACATGTAGGTAGGTTGTCTGCATATTGACCTTTTCATATTCCTTCATGATGGAAGTCTTACGGCACTGGCTTCCTCTATAACTTTACAAGAATCCCCTTTAGAATTAAGTACTGCTGCAGTGCTGCTTATATTTACTGCTGCTGTGTTGCTTATATTTGATTTTACAAGAAGCCCCTTTAGAATTAAGTACTGCTGCTGTGTTGCTTATATTTGATTTTACAAGAAGCCCCTTTGGGTATATATATATGCAAATAGACCTTCTTTGATGGGGCATATATGCCAAAAACCTAAAGAAAATCAATCTATGCTGCAGTTTTCACATTAGAGTTCCAGAAGGACCAGAACAGAAAAAATTATCATCTTAATGCTTGATTAATAAATTATTAAAAAAGGACATGGTGGCCTTTGGACTTCATGATGATATTGACTTTGAACGATCTAATTTGTGAATAAAATCTGTATTGCCAATCCCAAGTGGCTAAAAATATGATTGTATATATTAATTTAATATTTTTGTGGAATCTGAGCTTGACTTATTCACACATGTTTGTATAAGTTTTTTTTATATGTAATAGTACTAGATAAGATCGGAGAACTTATCGCCTTGAGGATAAGTTCGGGATCGGATTAATTTATAGTATTAGTGAATTTGTCTTACATTCTTTAGACCAAGGTTTGAAATATCGTACCGTACTGACGTTTCGACATTCGCTCGGTATGGTACGATACAGTATATCGAGTAGCATGGTATGCAATTTCGAATGGTACCGTTCGGTACGGGCGGTACGTACCGGTCCGAAGGCATACCGGTACGCGGACCGCCCGCTACCAGACGGACCGTGCTACAGTGCTACAGTGCTATAGTAAGAGGAAATCACTCGGTAAGCCCTGGTGTACCGTTCGGTACGCCCTGGTGTACCGCTTGGTACGTCGGTACCGTACCGTACCGTACCGTACCGAGCCAACCTCGAAACACTGGTACGGTATGGTATTGCATATCTTGTCGAGTAGTATACCATTCGGAATACCGCTTGGTTTATATATATATATATATATATATATATATATATATGTATATATATATAATTCGGTGACGTTGCCTCGTTTATATATATATATATATATATATATATATTATTTATATATAAAATAATTTTTTATATATAAAATACTTTTATAAGAGGCGACGTCGCCGAAAAAGGCGACGCGACGTAGCCTTTTTCGGCGACGTTGCCTTTAATATATATATA